TTAAGAAAAATCTAAAAATATTTTTGTCACCACACAAATTACACATCCTAGAACCAGGGGACATTTAAAAAAACCCTCATTTCTTCCACAAAGTGAGGAGCTCAGATCTCATACCTGTTCAGATTCACAAAATCAATACCATAAATAACTCCTAGGCGATGTGACGTTACTGCTCTTTCCGAAGGGTTTTTACAAGACCTGTAAGAGCAACTGTATTTTAACACTGGAATATCAGCTGTTGTTATTAATAGGTTTTAACTCATTAAAATTATTTTCCTCACTGGACACCTGCCATGCAGAAATCACATTACTTTTGCTGTTCTTATTAAACTTTGGATAAACAAAAAAGTATAATTTTTTTTCCTTAATGAGATCTTAGCCACTTTTTACAAAGACTCTGCATTTAGCTTGTCTTCTTGAGCAATTTCATTTGCTTTTGTTCCCTGCTGTGCTGGAAACATGCTTTGTGCTTGCTCTCAATCAGGTATCCCAACAGTTTATCAGGTAGCATGGCATAATACAAATATAGTTACAGATTAGCTGTTCCCTGCTGCCATTCACTTCGTGGTTTAGATCCCTTGTCATTTACAAATCAAAATGTTTATGCACTCAATTGTAACACTTCCAAATGAGAATAAAAGGTATTCCATTACTCCCAAGACAACTATGGAAACATTTGCATGTGAAGTACTGTGATACTCTAAATTCCCTCCGTTTCATATTTCTCCACGTCTCACCGCAGAGGAACACCTCACAGTGATCTAACATTTATAAAAGGGTTATGCATGCACACCAGATCAGAGCTTTGTAATTCGCAGAAGGTCTTTGTCCAAGTTAAAAAATTGCTAAAAGATTGCTGAAGAGTCCCTGGAATTTTTGGCACCCACAAGCATCAACACAGCAAACTGCCTCCTTTTGCTTAGCCAAAGAGCCTTGGTCAAATGCCACACAAAAAATATCCTGCTACTAGCTCTGCCCAAAGATGCGCGTTTCACCTGGGTGAAGGATCAAGAAAAACAGCAAAACGCATCGTGGAGGCAAACCAGTACAAACGATATGAGTACAGGGCTGAATTTTATCGAAGTACAGGCAAAGAACAGGTTATTACCATTATAAACACACATGCGTATGTGTTGGAAAGGGAATTAGATGTTTTCCCCACAGTGGCCAGAACATGAGCCATAATATCAGCCTATCTATATTCTTTTGCCCGAAAGACACGGCGCACCAGGCTGAGGAGAGTGCTCAGTAGATTACCCCTAACGTACTGTCGTCAGCTCCTGCTGACATTCCCAACACCGCCAACCTCCGGTGTCTAAAAAGGGCTGTGTCTGCTCCTGGTCCAATGCACGTTCTTGGGTGACGGAACAAGGGCACATTCTGGATTTTCATTGGCTAAAAAAAGAGTAATTAATCTTAATTCTCCTCTTCTCCCTGAAAATTAGAACTACTATAGCTCGAGGGAAACAAAGAGCTATCAGTTGTTCTGTGGCAAATTAATCTTAAAGGGGGAATCTTCCAAAGAAAATCAATAGCTTATAACAAGATTCTGTATTGTGTTTGAGCCCTGAAACTCAAACTAGAATCAAAGGGTGCTTTCAGCATTGCAAGTTTGCTCTTGTTGTGCTTTGTTTTTAATACAATGTCATCATTTGAAAAAGTGAGATTTTCACATATGAGCAATTTTAATTATGTGTGGCTTCACCTTCATGGAAGACTCTAGTAATATTTAGTACAGACTGTAAGATTACAGGTATTTCAGGCAACTTTAAAGAAATTATTCTGAAAAGAAGGAATTTAATAGGGAATTATTTTTTTTATCCTGCATGTAATATTCTATATCTAAGACATCTTTATTCATTCGTACCTTTCTAAATTAGTTTGTTCCATATGAGAAACTTTGAAAATGATGTCTCCTTACATGGTCAATCTTTTTTTAAAAAAAAAGAAAAACCTAATGAATTTAACGATGGTGCCATGGAAACAGCTTTAAAATTAATTTGGATGCAGGGAGGAAGGGTACAACTCTAACACAGAGAAAGTGACAGGTTTCAGAAGAAAAAAAAAGTCTGTCTTCATTCAGCACGGGGATCTTTGAGAAACAATAATGCATAGCAAGGCAAGGGGATCTTTTCAAACTATAGCGAAGCAATATTTCTCAAGCACACTCTCCAAAACGGTTCATTACCAATCTGAGATGTGATAAGGAGAGGCGGAATGGGGCAGAGGCATACAAACCTGCAGGAATGGGAAACTTGAAATGAAAACTGCTTGAAAGCACTGGTAAAGAATGCCAAAGTTCTCAGACAAGTACTTTTATTGTAAAGACAGCACAATACGGGGTGGAGAGATCATTTATAGATCAGCAAAGGAAATAACTATTCTAATTTCTAACCAGTTCAAGTCTGTTAACTCATTCCCACAAATACCTATGGACTGCCTGCAGTCTGGGTGTGAGTTCTGCACAGAGCGAATCGTGTCTCTTTCGGACATTGAGAGAGGTCTCCAACAGAGCCGGGACACTATTATGTGCTGAGGCCCGTATCACTCATCGCAATGTCATGTGTTACGCAAGACTAGAACTGCACGGGACAGTAGGCTCCTTGCCGTGAGTCTGGGACAAATAGCCTATATGTGGTCATATATACTGCAGGAGTTTTATTTCCAGAAGTCCCATCAGTAAAAATGAGAGTTTGACATTGACTCAGGGCTTCCATGGCTGGAAGGAGAATTTGGTCCTTACTTTTACCCATTCCTGCACTAGACACATTGGTTTGTTAGCTAAACTAAGTTAATCTAATTCATTGTTATTCTGGGACTTTGCACAGAAGGAATTCTAGTCTAAAGCAGATTTCATCACTTATTTCCTTGATAATTCACTAGTTAGTTTGGCTGCCAGAGTGAATAGTTGTACATAAAAAGAAAAATATGTTACTAAGCCTAAAAATTTCAGTAAGTGCACAGTCCCCAGAACCATGATGTTATCAAAGTTCAGTGGTACCGCAAAGTGATGACTAATGAGCCTATAACCTCTATATGCTATAGAGTAAATGCTCTCATTAATTCTTTACAAGACCTTTAGAAAACATACTGCATTTATCCTGCTTCCTAGCTGTCAGAATTTAGTAGATTACTTCATTGGCTACTTTGACATTTTTACTTTTTCGTTCCAGTTTGGTTTGTTTGCTTGCCTTAAAAAATGCCTACTGGGTGAATTGTAAAAAGGTCAACCAACAGTTCCCAATCCAGACAGGACAAAAGTAACTGAAATTTACACATTATAGCAGTAATTTCGAGCCTTACCGTATTTTTTTGGTCTGTGAACCGTTAGCTGTAAATATAAAGCTATGTGCCAAAGATCTTCTAACCTTCCTAATGCAAATATTCTCTTTCCTTTCAGAATTTCCACTACCCCTTTTTACATCAATGTCCCAGCACTAAAACAGCATCACTAAGGGATTTGGGGGGGGGTGGGAGGACAGTGCCTGCTGGATTTTTATATTAGATCATAAGATCTGATTCTGAGTAATTTACTTATAAGCAGAATACATTTTGCAGTCAGGGCAGAGTGTAGGAAATAGAACTGTCTGAACACTCCCAGAGTTTGGACGCATCATTTATTTCTCAGTTTATCATAGACTGAGATAATAATGGTGTAGGTTACACATAAATTGGGATGCTGTTATAATTCAGAACACTACTAGTACACACGGTGGTGGACACACATATTTGAATGGCAAAGCAAGGCTTTGTCTTTGTAACTTGACTGTGCGCTGCAGATCGTATAGGGAGATCATTCTTGCAGAGAAATGCTTGCAATTGTATTTCACTACTGAAGCATCAGATATTGCATTCATCCAAACGACAAAGTCACCAATGCAGGCACTAAACCCCATTTCAGTGTTTTTTGGGGTGGTTTTTTTTTATCCTGATTATAAACATGGAAAGCACGCTATGATGAAATTTCTTTACTGGCAGTATTAGTCTTTGGCCATTTGTACAGTTAAGAAGACTACCAGACGTAGATCAAGTTAATACTGATCTTGTTCACAGTATGTAATGCCAGAAATTTCAGTGGACAGCCTTTAGATTTATGCCAGCACATGGAAGACACACCTGATTTTTAAATACGAACGTCAGGCTGCTGCAATTCTAAAAATGCCAGAACAATGACCTTACTTTTCTAATTGACATCTGAAAATGAAGATCGATATCTTTAGGCTAAATAAAGCTAACTAGCCTTTCAGATTCTTAGAAGTACTTAACTGCCTCATGAGTTCATTAAAGTTGTTCATCTTTTTTAAAAAAGTGAGGCTACAAATTGCAATATAAATGGTAACAGTGTCCTGTGATCCCAGACAAATCAAATACCATTGTTCTGGGTAAGACAAGATTAACTGTGCCTTCATAATTTAAAAGTTCCAGTGAATCATAAAACTAAAAAGCAGAAGAAAAGCTGTAGGAGCTAAGGAGAACCTGGTTAACAATAATACAGTAAGTGCCTAACTGTGGGAGCTTCTGTAACTGAGTTTGTAAAATCTGGGGCCAACGAATATTAGTATTTTGGATTCTGCAAGTGCTGGTTTTAACAGTTCCAAAGCCGTATCCCATATGTTTCTTCAGATATTTCAACCCCTGACTCCTCTGTGTTTGGCTTGAGGCTGAAAAGTACAGATTACTTGATGCCCGTGGCAAGTGCTGTTGCAACAGGGAAATGATGTCAACCCCTGCAGTGCAATTCATAACTTGATGTGGGTAAATTCACTTACTGACAATTTAGAAGAAAACATGCTGGTGCTGTGCCAGTTGGAGCCAGATGGTGACTGAAATTATTAAAATCACGCGTGCTGCAAACCTCTGAAAAATTGCACTGTTACAAAATATCCTAAGGATAAATGGGATCCTAATACAAACCAATTGGTGTATAGAGAGCATTTGCAAACAGCGTATGGTATGATTTGCTACTGTTTAATTGTAATCTTTCCCTTCCCTGTTTCTAGGTTCAACTAATCCACTATAACCACGAGCTGTACACAAATGTCACAGAAGCTGCGAAGAGCCCTAATGGGTTGGTGGTAGTTTCCATATTTATGAAAGTAAGTATTCAGTATTATCGTTACCTAATATAGAGACAATGGACTTCTTTTCCCATGAGCTGTAAATCTAGGAATTCAGAGACAGCATCGTCCTAGGAACTGAACACACAATCTCTACTCCAAAGCATTTACAATGTAATGTAAGGAAAATGAAAAGGGATAAGGGGGGGGGAATCCTTATATCATAAACATCACTCCTAACACTTTATGGCTATGGCAAAAGCTACTAATTTTTCAGATTTGGTATTTCTTCATGAAATGTTATTCATTCAATTAAAAGTAAATCTCTCCTAGTAGGTTGAGGCCTGAGGAAAGAGGGCGTGTTTGCTCTTTGGAGACATGCTGATGTTTCAAGTCAGCAAAATAAGATTTTCTCACAATGTTATTTAAAACATCTTAAACTATCAAAACTGAAAGAACATTAAAAGTATAACTCTTGATATCTTCCATTTCACAGAACGAGACAGACAGGTGAATATTTTGTCATATTTTAGTCTCCATCCTGTTGCATTCAAGATGCATAGTTAGGTCTAGAAATTACAGTCATCTAGCATTGAACTCAAGAGTTAGTAGTTTAGTCAAACCTCCCTAATTACATTGGAGAAACCTTTTCTCTCATTTTATACAAAGAACACATTTCCCCAAAAAATGTTGTTCATATTCTGCCATTACGTATCTCTGTTTCTTCAGTCTAGAAAAGCATATAATTCTGAATAAGTGCTTCATGCTGAAATAAATAGCTTTCATCATCAGACCTTACATATTGGATATCCGTTAATTCCCTTTAGTACTCTCTAACCCCATTTCATAAGGTAAAGTTCTGGACAAAGCATTAACCTCAGAATTAAAATATGCATTGCACAGAGCATATTGAATAATTAGATATGAAAATTGCCCATTTATACAGGTCTAATATTTAAGAAAGATATTTAGGTTACCTTTTTCATCCAAAAGGTATTGTATTATGACCCAACGATCTGACTTGAATTCGCGCAAAAGGGTAAAATTGAAGCGAGCCTTCAAAATGCCCAGCACGCCAATTTTGTCTAAATAATGCATCACTCATGTACTTGCTGAGTTGCACACCTCTTGTAACGAGCAACAAAATTTAGTATCTGCCTCACCCTATTTTTCTCTAGGCCTCTCTCACTGGCATGAAAAGATGTGTTCTATTTTAAATGTCCAAAGTAGTCAGAAAAACTTCCAAGTGGAGAAGTAACTATCCGAATTTCCACAAAATGGAACCTGAACTGAATTTTCCTGAAGGCTCCCTGTCAAACAGAGCTGGATTACAGTTTGTCCAATAGCCCATTTATTTTCCTAAATCTCAATTAAACTTTTTGTGAAGTTTTCCATTTTCAAAATAAATTGATTTCATTCTGGATAAATGCTAGATGTATAACAGCAGCATCCAGTGCTGATACAAAAACCCACATCACAGAATAATTGAAAGATAAGTAGGATATTCGGGGCTAGCTACAGAGGAACTAAAATGTCTCCATAAAAAAATGTGACACTTATTTTGTTGCTAACCAATAATAATTTTGCCATTTGCAGTGCAATAAAATCTCTCATTAAATCATTGTTGATAATCAACAATGATATTGTTGATAAAGTACATACACCCCCACCCCCCTCAAACAAACAAACAAACAACACGACAACAATGCCTCTAAGCCCTCTATCTTTTTTCCTCTAAATCCTCTTCAGGTATACTTATGTTAATGTAGACTGAACAGTCTATGTGTATGTATACGTGTATGTATACATATTTGTGAGTGCACGTGAGTGAAATTTAGGCATTTCAAACCTGTATGTAAAACAAAGGGAAGACAGATTTTATTTGCAATCTAAATAGTCTGCTGCAAGGAAAGTATATTTCTCAATAAATAGAAAAATAATAGAATACTATATGAAAATCCTGCCTAATTATATTAACTACCTGCAAATCCCATCAAAGCTGTTGGAGGAGAAACCTGTACTCACGCGTGGATTCAGGCATTAATTTCTATTCATCCTGTTCTCCCATCCCTGGTTTTTTGGATTTAGTTGTAGATACCAACTTTCTAACAAGTTTTGTTAGAAAGTTGTCTAAGTAATTATTTCCTCTTCCCAAAACAGTGAAAAAATGGCAGAAACAATTTGGAGGAGTGGCAGGAGAGAGAGAATGAGTGTGCGTGCACACACAGAACAGCTGCATTTCCAGAAAGGAAACGTTCATGAGAAGATTTTGACATTGTACATTTTCTCTTCTGTAGGTATCTGAATCATCAAATCCATTTCTAAATCGTATGCTTAACAGAGACACCATAACAAGAATAACGTATAAAAGTAAGTTTCTTTTAATTTACTATGGCTAACAGCTGTATGCTTTTAGTATCAAATAACGTATTTAGCAATCCACTGAAACAAGAGGCACTTCATTATGGGCAAAAATTACAAAGTTTGCATTGCCAGCAACCCTGCATGATAAACTTGGGAACCTGAAAAATCTAGTAAGGTCATCAGTTCATGAAATTAATTTTGAACTTCAAAGTCTATTTTATGTTTGAACAAGCAATAAATTAAGGAAATTATACTTAACAAATACATATACTGTATTCACACAGAATACTCAGGAGAAACCGCTTACTGTTAGCAATAGAAGTAACACGCGGAGCAGCCTGGAATATATCAAATCAAGTTACATCAAGATGCTGCATCATTAACTGTGGATTTAGCATCCATTAATGCTTTCTTTTTGTACAGAAAAGTTATGACATTTCTATTCAACTATTGCTGCATTTAATGGATCTATAAAGAGGTCATTAACATAGCATGTGTATTTGTTGCATTCACATTTGGAAAGCCTTTAACTGATAATGCTCAATAATTCCATGTTAATCTATTGAACTTGTGGAAAACTGGAGCTTAAATGTCAGTGAAAATTAGGCTAGTTTAGAGAAAGTCATGAAAAATACATATATCTCAATGGAACAAATTAAACCTCTTCTCCCAAAAACCTTATTCCCTTTGTCAAATATTCACTTGAATTGCAAGCAGCCATTAAGTTAATAAAATAAGTTAAACAATACCAGAATTTAACTTTCAGAAAGTACAGAGCAAACTGAAAAAATAAGGAAAGTATTGTAAAACTCAGCCTTCGTTTGTTATTCTGTAAACAATGACTTAACATTTTTCATAAACTACATTAATTTTCCTCTTGTTTATGAAAGCTGGGTGAGAGCTGTTCATGATAACTGGAATGAGACTGGTTGTCAGGACTCCAGGATCTGATTCACAATTCTACTAGGGTTTGCCTCAGTTTACCTCTCTGTAAATTAAATATATTGTAGTATATACTCTACAGCAACACAGTGTTACTTGGAAAACTTTGCATCTGAAACTCCAGAGATCTCAAATGTCCATTTAACTTCAATAAAAGTCACTGAACTTCAGGTTTATGACAGAAGGGTTTGGAAAGATTTCGATACACGTCCCAAAGCACACAGTCTGATTTCTTTCCATGGACACCATCTTTTCCCCCTCCCTGCAAAGCCAGGATTGTAAAAAGAAAAAGTGTAGATTTGAGACCAATGTAAAGTGAAAGCACAGAATTTTACCCACTAATTCCTGAACAAGAGAGCACTAGAAATATTTCAAGTCTTGCCATAGAATACAGAATTTGAACAACTGAGCCAATCCAACCCCGTTCTGAAGTAGATAGTTCAATGTCCTCTCCTATAACACACACCTTTCCTCCCACTGATGTTTCTCTAATTTTAGCTTACAGTTAACAAATCTCGTTACATCTTTGGTCCAAATAAGAGGCCTCTATTATGACAAAACTCTACTCTCCATGATACCTATAGAAAGGAAGGTGACGGAGGGTTCCCCTCAGAACATTTTTTTCCAGATTGTTCTATCAGTATGAAATGTCGTCTTCTCTGCAGGGAAGAAGCAGGAGATTAGCCCAGTTTTTAAACTGCCTGTCTTGATTCCTTGCAAAAAAAACAGCAATACTGTTCTGTAAGAGCTTCCTGCCTACCAGTGCTGCTGCTGCAGCATCCTGGAGATGGGAAATTATTGTTGAGGCCGTATGTGCTTTTTCAGGCTCTTTCACTCCCAAATTACATATTCCTGGCTTCTGTCTGGGGACCAGCCAGAAGACCTCTGAACTGTACCACTGAGGAAGCTGCTTTTCCCCCACGTACACACACAGACAGACCTGTCAGGTCCCACACGCTGAAGAAGAGAGGACTCCTGCCTCATTTTTCCCATCACGGCAGCTGTATCTCATGCATTTACATAAGCGTCACAGCCTTTTTTGTACTCCTTGGCCCCACAGTGGCCGGCCAGCAGAGCAAAGCTAGGACAACTTGTGGTGGTGCAGAGAGGAGAGGCCATGATTAGGGATATACAGCTCCACAGGGCGGGAAGGCACCGGCAGCATCTTTCCCTTGTTGCATGAGTGAGCATGCAACTGTCGCCCACACCAGGAGGCAAGCATACCTTCCCAATACAAACGATTTCTTTTGTACGCTGCACTTAAAAGTGGGCACTCCTCCTCTCTGGAATTGACAGCATCCTACAACCTTTCATTGGTTGTTTTGCCTCTTCAGAAGGAAAATGCAATTCCAACCACACCTAATTTGGGTTAACTAAATGAAATTTCGCATGAAGATGAACACGTAACATGGGCTGCAGAATCAGTGATTAACAGAACTGTTTTAATTTTTAACCACTGTTATCATTAGCAAGTTTGTCTGTTAAAAAGAAATCCTTGGTAGATACAAGGCACATAATATTCTGCAGGGCGTTGTGTTACTTACTGTAGTAACAAGTATTGACTGGGAATTTTTTAGTGTAAATTGGGAACGTGAAAGTGTTATTGAAAGTAATTTTGCAGTTGTCTTGCGTGATGGATTATAGCATCATTGCTGAAAACTAATTTTACCTCTTACATTGCGAGGATTTCTATTCTGCCTTTATCAGCTGGAGTTTTTTAGCTTGTGCTTTAGGGGTCCACTCCTGAAGTCAATACTCAGCAGGCTGTTGACAAAATGACCGGTCCCAGTGTGCTCAACAGGAGCGTGGAGCGAATGCTAAGTGGAGCATAGGTTCAGAGTCAGGACAGTTAGTAACATCACTAAAGTACTTTTTTCAAAGAACAGCAACAAAATTAAGAGCTATCTATGCTGCTGCCTGAAATTTCCATGGACAAAATGCATTAAAAGGTGAATTTCTACTCTTAGATATTAATGGCTACAGTGAAGTAAATTGGACCCCAAGGAATTTTTATGCAGATTTTAAATGCTTATTTTATTCTGTTATCACAGCCCAAAGAATCTACCGTGAACTAGTTGAAACAAGTGTTCTTTCAAACAGGCTTTAGTCAGAAGCTACATGAATATCTCTAAAGAAAAACTGCTTTAATATTCTTCTTTAAGTATGACATCTGAGGGTATTAGTTCGCTTTCTTTCAGAACAGTTATGCTACATTAACTTTCACCCAGTGTTTGCTTAACGTTGGAAAGAAGTAACATTTTAGATTCCCAAAATTCTGTATGAAAATTTGGGCTTGTCATTCTCCACCAAAATACTGCCACATATTCAGCTAGACAGAACAGCTGTAAAATTCTGAATTTCCTCAAATCCAATCTTTAGCTATTTTATAGATAATATACAAGTGAATAAAGTATTCCAATTTTAAGATATTATCCTGAAAAAGCTTAAGATTCAGATTTCTGGAAATAAGAGACTATTAATTTCTCAAGGTTCATGTTTTAGTGCATTCTCTGAAGGACCGAGCTCTTGCAGCTCCTGTCACAAGCAGTAAAAGCTCAGCAGTCTCAAACCAGGCCCCAAGGGACTGACCTCAGGTATTCAAAATGAGTCTCTGTCAGCCTGGGTCTAAGCGACTTGTGAAGGCTGGTAAATGGAGAAACTCTGTCTCAGGATTAAAAAGCTGAGGGTCTCTACATTCCTTACCCTGTAAATCTACTCTGGTTAGAGCTGTACTTTCCCTTTTTGGATTATCATAATATGAACTTCAAAATCAAATGGACCTTCCTTCATTCTGTAAATAATATATTCCTTATAAATACTATTGTTTTCAAGAGAACATACATAGAATTTGCTGTGAAAGCAGACACCACGTGCCTATTACAAATCTAGGGATAAAAGAAGAGGATTTCCATCATTTGCTAAGAAAATTGTCAGAGTCAAGGCCTTTATGTAAATTAATATGAAATCTAATGAAATCTAATTTGTATAGAGAAGAGTTCACGAGTTCAGAAATCACCCTAAGGCACAAGTGGATCAAGATAAAGAGAACATGGGCTGTAGATAGGAATGATGCTGAGAATCTAGTAAAGGCTGAATGGGTTTATTAAAGGAGGTTTATTACTGGTAAGAGATCACACATGGTGATTTTGACCATTTTGAACTACATACTTGCAATAAATATAAGACAAGACATTAAAGTCTTGTCTAGTATTGCAAGTATGTTGCAGCCTAGTATTAGTGCAAACCCAGCTGTTCTATCAAGATGCGGGGAAAGGGAAACAGCAGAGCTGTTCGTGGGAAAAATGTCGATAACCAAATGCTCATTCTGTAGTCTTTTCTCAGGCCATTCTCATGGAGGCATCTGACTTCCCATGGGAATATAACCCATATACAGGCGTGAATAAATACTGCTTTTACTTGGCCAAACTCTTTTATTTCATTATTTCATTCACCCCTATCTTTCCCTTTTCCTGAAGTGATATTTTCCTCCAGTTTCCCATTAATCACAACCAATGGATTTTGACACTTAGCATAATTCACTGTCTCTCCTTAAACATATTCCAAGTGAAGACAGAGGCAATGAACCAGGTTTGGAGCCACTTCACTGCTGGGTGCTGGTGGGGGAGATGGCCGCACATTTTGTAGGTCCTCAGTATGCAAACAAGGTAACCCAAGCAGTTGATCCAAAGCTCAGTGAGGCTATGGAGAGCATCTCGCCTGATCTTGAGAGCACTGGCATATGCCGGGCTTGCCTGAATGAGTAGGAGGACCATGCCCCATGCTGCTTCCACACTGTTACATGCCATATTCCACCCCCGGAGTGCTATTATGTTCTGAGAATGACTAAATACTGTAAATCCACAGACAAAAGTTAGAAGCCCATATCAAAATAATGAATTACATTCTCTATTAAAGCAATGTGAGGCAACTCCAAAACCCCCATGATTACCTGCTCTAATGCCAGCAGTAAATCTGTTTCTGTATCTTCCATTTGATAAGTAGTCCCATTGTTAATAATCTCTGCACTGTTCTGAATACAAATTAGTCAACTAGAATGTGGCGCACACAAAATATAGATATATCATCAATATCCCCCATCTGCATTAATCTTTAGTTAGCTTTCCATTTCCTAGTAAACATTTCAGGGCAAATTCTACCTGGTTTAAATCATTTTAGTCCAACCGAAGTCAATATGGATGTGACAAAGCAGATTTGGTCCTTAGAGTTTGAAACTATCTATTCTGACTGACTCCGTGCCATTTGGAGCTAACACACCACTCTCCATGGTTCATAAATAATGAACAGGATGTTCATGTGGGAAAGGCAAAAATGTGTGATGACTCATTGAAAACAGGCACTGGCTTGAAAAAAGGCATTCGCTCTCCTCTCGTGTAATTCTAGCAAAATTACAGCTGCACTGCAAATAATATCTTAAATGAATAGGACACAGGTGTATTCAGTCATCCCTGGCTGTTAAAATTTAACAGCATTTTGACTCTAATACTATAGCAATTTTTTTGCACTTTTGTCTGGAAAATTTGGGGTTTAGAAAGACTCTGTATTCCCAGGCCATGGGCCAGTGAAGGCTGAGCGTGTTAAAAAAAGGTGACAGTCAGCCACCTACAAGACACTAATAGTACTTTCCCCTCTACTTGAGGATCCAGCTATATGGCATGGAAATTACCCTGGCTTGAAGTGCAAGAACATGGCAGGCGGCTTTATTCCTGACAAACTTGAAAGGACACGGGAAGGGCTACAGATGTCGTCTATCTGGACCTCTGTAAGGCCTTTGACACGGTCCCCCACAACATCCTTCTCTCCAAACTGGAGAGGTATGGATTTGATGGGTGGACTGTCCGGTGGGTGAGGAATTGGTTAGATGGTCACATCCAGAGGGCAGTGGTCAATGGCTCAATGTCCAGATGGAGATTGGTGACGAGTGGCGTCCTGCAGGGGTCCGTATTGGGACCAGTGCTGTTTAATATCTTCATCAATGACAGAGACAGTGGGATCGAGGGCACCCTCAGCAAGTTTGCACATGACACCAAGCCAAGTGGTGCGGTCGACACACCAGAGGGACGGGATGCCATCCAGAGAGACGTGGACATCCCCCAGAAGTGGACCTGCATGAACCTCATGAGGTCCAACAAGGCCAAGTGCAAGGTCCTGCACCTGGGTCAGGGCAACCCCCAGTATCAATACAGGCTGGGGGATGAAGGG